ACACCCATCTCCACCGACGCCTGAGCCCCAAACCCTATAAACCCCGGCCCTGCACCCTATCTGAAACCCCCAAAACCCCTAAACCCTGAACCCTAAAACCTGATCCCTAAACCCTGAAACCCCTAAAACCCTAAACCCTGAACCCCAAACCTTAAAACCCCAAACCCTACAACCCCTGAACCCTGAACCCAAACCCAGCCGCCGCACCAGAAAAGGCTGCGAAAGTCGTCGCTTCTCTTCCTCGTCGCCGGCATTGGCGCCGGCCCAGCCTCGTCGCAGGTGCTGTGGGCGTAATTACTTGTTCAAGGGCTTGGGGCTTCGAGGCTCTAGGTTTCAGAACAGGAAACTTGTCTGGCTCCGGTAGGCACTCGCGCTTCGCCCCAAGAAACCCGAAAGCCCGGAGTTCTTAGGGTTTAGGAGTTTAGGGTGTGGGGTTGTAGGGTTTACGGGTTTCGGGTTTTAGGGCTTAGGGCCTTTAGGGTTTAGGGTCGGGTGTTGAGCGCCCCATATTAATCGGGTGTATAAGGCTTTGTTGCTAAATCAACTGTTCCTTCTAGGGTATTACCCAAGCTACCAGCAGGGGCTGTCTGCAACTAGGACGTTAGAAGCGACAAGCATTAGGAGTTGATTCATAGAGGGGCCTTAGCAATCCAAATAGGGTTTGGGGTCTACACTGTAGCATAGCTTCCTAGCACATGGATCTAAATACTCTGTGGAAGCTCATATTACATACATTTCTTCAGACCCCTTTGTACTACAATATACCAGAGACCATAGGATCCCCTCATGTAGAAGACCCCGCAGGGGCGATCTTGTGTTCGCGGTTTCCTGGTACCAGGAGCCTGCTTCGAGGACTCGGAAATTTTCAGAAAGTGGTGCAGTGACCCGAAACCCCTAAAGCCTAAACCCCTTAACCCCTGAACCCCTCAACCCTAAAGCCAACAGCTCAAAGGATTGCTTTGATGTGGACGTCTCTTGAGCAACCGGATGCTCAACTTCGACCATGATCGGCAACGAGTCTGCAGGTTCGGTCAGAGTTCAGTAGAGCCTTCGGATATTTTAAGCAGGCCGGCAAACCCTGCAAGACTGCCTTCAATCCTATGCTGAACCCCCAACCCTGAACCCAGAAATTAAACCCTACACCCCTACACCCCTAGACCCTGAACCACTGAACACGAGGTCACCCCCTGGCCAGGTGCCAAGCGCATGAGCACGTCGTAGATGCCATCTTCGTGAAGGTTCCAAGCGTCATGCTTGGCCTGGGAGGATTCGAGTAGCTTCGGGTTTAGGGTTTATAGGGCTTAGGGGTTAGGGCTTTGGGTTTGGGTTTGGGGGTGGTAGGGGTTTAGGGCTTTGGGTTTGGGCGTGTAGGGTTTAGTGTTTGTGCCTTTCGTTGCCAGCAAGTAGAGCAATACTGACAAAAATAAGGAGCCTGACGCTAGCCGCACTGACATCATGGAAGAACGGCAGCTATAGTGAAGGCTGCATGAGTCCCCGTGAGCAGGGATTCCGGTAAGGATCCAACCATCTCCACCACAGCCGCTTGGGACAGCCCATTGAAATCCTGGAGTGGTCCGGGCTTAAGCTGGTCCAATGCTGCAGGCTTCAGACAGTCACAACTCTGGGCTCTAGCCAAAGGCCCAAAAGTAGTTCCTTTTGGGGGTTCATATTTAGAATTTTATAAGGTAACCCCAAAAAGGAACTACTTTGGGGCCTTAGGGTAGCCACCTAGTCCCCAATCCTCTTTGCATCCATTGTCTTGCATTGGCAGGCTTGAGGGCAAACATGCGAGGACATGGAAGTTGCAAGTGCGGATGTGCTGCGCAAGGTTTCCGGAATTACAAGATGATAGCTCCGGCTCTGCTGAGCAGTTTATCTGGATCACCAATGGTGACAAATGCGTGTTCGCTGACAAGCAAAAACTGAGACCCGAAACCCGCCCTAAACTTCCCCAAACCCCATAAACCCCCTTGCGCCCCATAAACCCCATTTAAACCCCATGAACCCTCAAACTCCCGGCCTTCGAGGGTGCATTGAGGCTGAGAGCATCGGGATTGAAGGATGCGTGGGCTTGTTGGTGCACGCGCGCAAGGCTTCGACGTAGTGTGGCTCAGATTTTAGAGTGTGGAGGTTAGGGTTTGGGGGGAACAAAGGCTTTTGGAAATAACGTCAGCCTTGGAACTTTTTCTGGGGAGGAGGATCGCTGACTCATTGACAAAATCCTGCAATGCCTTGAGCATCCAAAACTCCTAAACTATAGGAGAAATGCTGTATAAGCAGCAATGGACCATCAGGGTTTTGTCCATCAGCAGTGCTGGTGCTATCGTCGCACTGGCATAACTATGCACCTGAAAGTCTAAACCCAAAGCCCTACAACCAACGTGACCGCGTCCTCTGAGTCGAGGATATGATCATCGGTGACCTTGAAACGCGGCGGAAAGCCCCAGGCCACGCAGATTAGTGCTGAAGTGCAGTTCCTTTCGGGTTCCTTACAGGAAAACAACTAGATCAACTTAGATCAACTAGATAGGAACACTATGAAAGGAGTTGCCTTAAGTGAAGGGAGCTCTGATGGTCAAGAGGAAGTTTTCTCAGCCCAAGGTTAAAGTGCGAGGAGGATTTAAGCCCGACCGCTCTGAGCCCTGCCCTAAAAGCTGTAACACCCCTAACACACCAAAAGACCTAAAGCAAAACCCTCAAGCCTGGAAAGGCGTCGGACACCCTAAACCCTGAACCCTAAACCCTAAACCCGTAACCTGTGTCTCGAATCGTGCCGGGATCCAGGCAATGAGTTCGATGCACTTGTCTACCAGCCTGCGTTTTGCACCGGCAGCCCCTTCAACACCGACTAACCATAAGAACCTCATCTACGAATATTGAAACCTAGATCCTCTTGATCTCATGACTTTTGTTTCTCACAACATTAGGCCATACTTCTAGTGAAAATGTTCTCGAGAACGGCCGAGAAGCTTGCAGAGACCGTACTGGACGCCCACCTGAACAGGAGACGCAGAGGCGCACTTCTAATATAGGGGCCTTGATAATTTGAATAGGGTGTTGGGGGGCGCTTTATACTATGAATGTAAGAAGGAACCCCCAAAATAGTATAGGTATTTATTCAGGCCCCCATGTTAGATGCAACTGGGAGGAAGCAAACAGTGTAATCACAAATGGCATATGCAGAAATATGATGTCAATGGTAGTATAACTTGTGCAGGGATCAGCTTGGTGGTAACACTTTGATCAGACAATGGTCAGCAAGAGATGTGTGTGAGCCTGGCAAGATCGTTCCGCATGGCACGACCGTTGCATTGAAGCTTTTGAAGCCATAAGCCACGCAACACCCCCTAGAAGCCCAGAAAAATCAGATCGTAGGCTAGCGTCCCTATATGTAGAATATACATACATACATACATACATATATATATATATATACACACATACATACATTTTGGGCATACGTATACCCGTACATACATACATACATACATACATACATACACACATACATACATACATGCCCGCATACAGTTGTAAGGTTCATGTTCATATATGTATACAAACGCGCGCACGTATACATAGACAAAGGCATGTATGTATGTGTATAGTAACTGATTCCACAGGTCGGGAACTGGGCTTTTAGGGCAGTGTAACTGTATCTCTTCAGCTAAGTGACACGCTGCTCCTTGAAGCATCTTTAGAGTTTAGGGCTTTAGGCATAAGGGATTCAGGTTGCCATCGCTTAAGGGCCGTGGAGCTGCAAGTTAAGTGAGTATTGCAAGGTGTTGAGCTTTTGTCGCTTTCGCACAACCAGTGTCGTTTGGGAACATGCCCTTGCAAAGACAGTCCTCAGAGAGCACCGCTAGGCCTCGACCACGTATGGTTGGCCTCAACCGCAAACCTTGAACCCCGACCCAAGCGTGAACCCGAAGGGGATTAGGTTACAGGGCTCAGCGTCTTCTAGGTTAAAGCCCGGTGACTTTTTGCCCCCTCGAAATTTTGGGAAACCGTGTGGCAGCCTTTTCCTCGCCTTTAAAAACGGGTTCTTCTGGAGCCACTGTTAGCCATTTAGGCTTGATAGCGCTCTGTGTGTGTTGAAGAGCGGAAGTTCGAGATCCTCTGCCTCTAGGCCCCACTCTTGAAAATCACAGCCGCGGTTACCAGGTTTCGAGCTCCAATGAACCTTACCCTGCTCCAAATTTTAATAGTAGGTTACTATATCATGATTATTGTTGTTGTTTTGAGATTATATGATTGTTGTCACTATATTGTAACCACACACACACATATATATAATATATATATATACCATGCACCGTATACTCTGTAACCCAGTAACTCAGTATTTACAGGTAGCTGGAGCCCTGGGCTTACCCACATCGAAGGTTCCTGCTTCAAGGTGGGCGTGACAGCCGGGGATCCCTAAGATCGATGGGGAGTTTCCGAAAACAGGGGACCCTAATATAGTACCCTAAATAGTAGGGTCCTTATTACTATAAGGACCCCCAAAATCGGTTACCGCTAATTTTCGGAAACTCCCATGCCGACTGAATGCAGCTGGCGAAGTTCAGGACGTGGAGATCAGTGCACACTGGGCCAGCGAGGGTCAGTGTCATGTCGAGCGTTGCAAGCGTCGTCTGAAGGACCTGGTGCCAGTTCATGCCGGCCAAAGACACACCTTCGGTTATCCCCAGCTAGTCATCTTCCAGGTGCAGAGCGGTGGCACTCCATCGCGAGCTTGAGTCTCTGTCGTTGTCATCATCCCATTGCAGATGTCCTGCGCTTCGTCGCCTGCTCAGATCGTGGAGACCTGTGAGAATCTTAGCCAAAGCGCAGAAAGGCTTCACAAACTTCTCTTCACGTTCTTGCTCGATCTGGCATGTCTCCACCAGGAAAGAAGTCCGAGGTGATCCGGATTATCCCCAGAAGCTGGCAAAGGGGTCCTTTAGCAGTAGCAAAGGCTCAGGTCCAGGAAGATTTTCGTGTGAGCCTTCGGATGCTCAGGAATACCACACCAGGACCTTAGCACACATGCTCCGAGCAGCACGTAGTACCTAAAGATGCTTAGCACATCTTGATACCTTTTGCTTCGATAGCCACGGTGCCAATATAGTTGCTATCATGCAGAATTGAAGCCCTGATCCATACCCCTTAACCTGCAATTCACTCGTCTCATGAGTCTCATGGGTCTTAAGGCCCAAGCCCTGTGATTCAAGGTGTCCGCGACGGTGATGTTCTTGTTGATTCCCGAGTTCACGTGCAGGCCTCGCACATCTGCAGTGAGACTTCGGCCTCTACTTGGATCCCTCGAGATGGACCTGCAAATACAAAGCTTTCGGGCCCCTCAGCGAAGACTATGAATGCGTGTCTCATTATTATGAACCATAAAGGGAACTCAACAGCATTTATAAATAGGTCCCTCTATGTGAACCGTAGCGGGGAGTTAGAAATGTTTCCGAAGTGCCACCCAGAATACTATGAACCAAGCGCCTGAGCCCCAGCCTGCAAACACCCTGAACCCTACACCCTCGATGTTCGGGCCCAAGTGTTAATAATAGTCTCTAGTGACGGTGGCTTCAGTTTCGAGTTCAGGAATTCAGGATAAATTGTGCAGGGCATATGTTCCGGCGTTGAGTCACAGGCGCATATAGCGGTCTGAGTTGCTACTCACTGCAACAATAACCCGGCTTTGGTGGCCGAAAGATGCGCAGCCTGGATAATGACACCCTGACTGATATGTGAAGTACCTCCATCCTGTCTTAGCTATAGTTCTGGTAAACACTCGCGAGGGGTGGCAGGAACATCTCTCACCTGGAAGATCTTCAGAAGCGTGTTAAACAGTTCGGGGACCAATTCCACCAAAAGAACTTCGAAGTTGCATGGGGGGTGAACCCTAAGTAGTAGGATCCTTATTTTGAGGATCCAAAATGAGGTACTGTACCCCTAATTCTTGGAAACTCTTTCCCTAAACCCTAAACCCTCAAAGTTGCATGGCCTGAGGGACCCCAGAAGTGGTAGATGGGCGGATTGTCAAAGGACGGGTTCAATGCCTCCTGATTGCAAGGAATCGAGCTGGCAAAGCAAGGGTTTATAGGGTTTAGGGCCTTACTTGTTATAGAATACACGAAAGACCATTAAGCCATGAGCATCAGGGTGCACCTAACCTTGTATCTTGACCTTGCCTTACTTCCGCCGGTTCTTCTTATCTCCTGCTGCTACCACCACTGCGACTGCCACTGCTCCTGCTCCTCCTGTTACTGCGGTTTTTACTACTGCTGCTGCTACTACTACGACGACTACTACCACTGTTAAGCCGACGACCACCACCACCGCCGCCGCCACGACCACGACCGCCATCACCACCACCGGCAAAAAGTCGACTTGCATGAACATTGGTATGAAGTTGCTCAGCGCGACACATGCTTTGGTTTCCATGCAGGTAAATGCGATTGACCCCTGAGTTTGAGAGATGTCATAGGGATCCTTAGGGGTGTAGGGGGAGGGGGGGTAGGGGGCCTTAAGGCCCATGAAGGACTAATATGGCCTATTTAAGGAAGTATAGTCCCCTACACCCCTCCCCCCTACACCCCTAAGGATCCCTATGAAGATGAGAGGGTTCTATCTTCTCTAGAGTTGACATTGTTGGAAATGGCGGAGGGTTTTGTCACTAGTGCCCAGCATGTACTACAAGCACAAGCCTCAATACAAATCCTACTTCGCTTGGAGCAGAAAGGTCAGGGTTCAGGGCTGCACAAGCTGTTTGCAGAAAGGCTTTCAGCACCTGGAGAGTCCGCTGTCGAGCAAGTCGGGATCATAATAGCAGTGATTGTAGTAGGTATGACTTCTGCATGATACGTGACAAGAGGTAGTCGTCTAAGCATACTGTCGGAAGCATACTAACTCTGTGCTGGCAGTCGTGATATCAGCGTGGATGACAGCAGTCTTAAGCTGAACAAGATGGGAATACTGCCAAAAGCCGACCGCAATCGCAATGTTCATGACCCAGATACAGAACCCCGACCACAGGCACACACAGCGCTGATGTTCAGCATGCCCCTGTGCACTAAGACACTACAGCCCCCGATCAAAGGGAACATCGATGGTGGAGTTGCAGTACGTCCTCGTCGTCGGGATGCGGTCGCGGAGGATCGTGCACCCCACCCTGCGTGTCTCGTAAACTCAACAACGGATCTTCAGGTTCATGTAGACGACAAAGTTTCGTCTGTCTTGTTTTGGACGTCGGGAACATTAGGGTAAATCAGACTCTGCCTACGCAGGTGGCTGTCGGTGCTGCCGACTTCCAAGCGCATAGGGTGAAGTAAGTCGTCGAGCTTAGTCGAGGCTTGCCGCCTTCTTAGAGATTGAAGACCCTACTGCCCCCACCTCCGTCTTCTCGCCCCACTGGCAACCCTAAGCCCCAAACATCATTAGGCCCAATATAGGGGCCTAAATAATTAGAATAGGGTTCTGGGTTATATTAGACTATAGTTATAATCAGGAACCCCCAGAATAATATAGATAGTTATTACGGCCTCTCTAGTACAGCGGCAGCTCCCCACCTCGATACAGGGGTCGATGTAGCTCGGGTTCTCCAGGCATCCCCCAGCCGCCACGGACGTGCTGCCATCGGACTCCCGGACTTTTGCCACCTGGAATGCCGTTCGGTCGTCATTCAGGAACTTAAGGTTTAGATTTTACGGTTTAGGGTCATTCTAAGAATTTACAGAGTTTCGGGCTAAATTGTGGCTGAGGCTGTATCTGAGGGTGTTGTGCCTCTCCAGGACTGCCTCGAAAGATACATGCTTGACAGGGACTTTCAGTTGTCATTATTATTGTTATATCATTATTATAGTTGTCAGCAACAGTAGGACGGCAGTTGAGTTTTAGCATGCCTAACCCTTATCACCCTTAGCCCTTAACCCTGCATCTGAAACCGTGCACGTTTTTCAGCCGAATGCAAGGGACACACAAAACATGACGACATTGTAGGGGCCTCGTTGTGATGGTCCCCCAAAGTTGGTATTTGGGCACCTGTGCTTTGCACTCGGCATTTCCCGGATTGCGGGTGAAGAAACCCTCAGCCTCTGGATAGAAGACTACCTGAACAACCCTAAACCTGAAACTCTGAACCATTTATTCGCCATAATTCACTGTAGGGGGCTGAAAATGACTTATGGTTATATGTAATTCGGTAGTGTATCACGAACATCTGAAATCTCAGCAACCTATGATAGTAGGGCCCATATGTAAGCCTAGATTGGACTTCCTGTCCATCGGGTGCTGGCAGTGGCGTCGCGCTTCCTCTGCTGCTTCATATGCAGCTTCTGACACACAGGACAGTTCTATAGCACGAAGTTCTGTGCACCCTAAACCCTAAACCCCAAAACCCTAAACCCTAAAACCCTAAACCCTAAACCCTAAAACCCTAAACCCTAAACCCTGAACCTTCTTCAGAGTGAGGAGCCGATTGCTCGCGATACGAAGCATACAGAACAAAACCCCTCGCAACCTTTAATTTGACGGCCCCTAACCACTCTTGTTTGTCGTTTTTTCGATTCGGAACGAAGCATATGTAATGGCTACTTGGGATTCACCGGGTCGCACAAGGCCCTTACAGCATCAAAGGCCAGGAGCCCCGAAAAAGTGTAAGGCCACCACGCGGTGATTGTCCGTATCGACGATGTAGATGTTTCTAATGGGGACTCCCCCCACCTGAAGTGATTCAATGATTTGTGGGCTCTGGGTTTGGTGTTTACCTAGACCCCCAACTACCGTTTATTATACCCCAGATACCCTCTTTTAAAGACCATGAGGGCTCCATTAAAGGGCACTTGGGGGGTCCTGCTAGACTCTTCAGACTTCAGGGTTTAGGGCTTGGGTTCTGTCGGGTTTTCAGTCTGACGCAGGGTTGAGGCCTCCGAAACCTTCGTGCAAAGGAGCTTCCTACCCATCTGAATACTGGTGAGCCTGATTTTGGATTTTGAAGCGTGCAACCCCCAATAGGACAAAAGCACACTTCTGGCGGAGCTTCGATAGCTTCACCTGTGCTATGAAGTTATCGATCCACGATGTATTGCTGCATGTAGGCTTTAGGGCTTTGATTGCGGCAACAACCTAGATTCCTCAGTAGCGCCTGAAACAACGAATTCACCATGTCCTGTTGCGCGACTCATAAAAAACACTGAAAACAAAAACAAACACACTCTGGCTACTGGGATAGCTGGTGCAAGGACAAACAAGAAAAAACAACTGCACATCCTCTAAACCCAGACACCCGAAACATCCATGAACTCTAAAGACCCGATACCCTGAAGCCCTGCACCTCAAAGCCCCTGTGCCTGCTCACTGTCATCCACGTAGATCGCCGATGGGCTCGAAGTTTGGTCAAGAGCAGTGCCGATGCCATTGCCGCCAGCCTTTAAGGCCAAGCGTTAGGGGCCAGGGTTTGGGGTTTAGGTCCCAGGGTTTGGGGTTCAGGGCTGGATAGAGTCTGAGTTTCAGAAGGGTGGAGGGCTTCTCTGACTTTGCGGCTTGGGCTCAGCGATTTGCTTCTTCTGGGATTTAGAAAGACCCTACTTGTTTCTGAACCCTGCGCTGGGCCTCAACAACTGAGACCGTTTCTTGACACGCGTACGGAAACACAAGAAACGGGACATTGACCGAGTGTCTAGCCAAGAAAGGAGTCTCAGCAAGAAGGCCACTCTACAAGTGTAAAGTTTGTTGGTTCATGGGCCCGGGCTGATAGGCATTCGAGCTCGAGTGGTAACTTTGAAAACAGAGAAACCATACTTAAGGAGCCCTATAATGATTAGACTTAGGGTTTTGGGGGTCCATTGCGTATACCATGATTACACTAGCAACCCCAAAACTAGTATAGGTAATTATGAAGGCCCCTATACAAGCTCAGTGCATCCTGGGTGCCACCACGACTCCCGAGCCGCCTGCAAGTGGATACTTCACCACACGATGTTGCCCAGTGTCAGCTACGTAGACGAAAGAGTCCGTCGTGGCGAAGACGGCCTCCACACTTCACTTCAGAGTGTTCATTGCAAACGGCGGTCTGATGATGATGATGATGATGATGACGGCTGTGATGTGTAGACGCCAAACTCAGACTATTCCCCAAAGCCGGGAAAACTGTGAACACCCCAAGCTGCATGGTACGTCCTCATAGTTCCTAGAATCCCACCCTAAACCCTAAAAGCCCCAAGCCCGTCCGAGTCTCTTCAGTTCCCGGGACCCTGCAAGCCTCTTAGTCTGTTCCGCTTCGGGGTTGTGATGAGAATAAGGGTTTAGAGGCTCGGATTCGAAAATCCGGGGTTCGGGTTTAGATGTTTTTAAGGCCCTTTTTTCCGTCTGCAAAACGTTTGGGTTTAGGGTTTAGGGTTTAGGATGTGTAGGGTCCAGGACCCGAGATCCTGGACTATGTGCCGGAAACCGGACCAAGTGGAGAAGGAACAACCCACAGCACACGCAGAGTATGATAACCAGCAAGTGGTACTGGGTCTTAGTACTCTATCACTGCATTATGACTCGAATATAATTCTTGCTGTTTGTATTTCTGGCAGTCCGAAGCCGCCCTCAGCTCACCCCCCCATCTAACTCTGAATCTTTCAGTCGCCTTACATCTCACACCCCTGACACCACACCCTCATACTCCGAGGTCCGAAAGTTTTGAAAGGCTGCGTTAGGGTACCCTAAACCCTAAACCTTTAGGGCTACAGCTCGAAGCCAAAGACTTCAACGGCCCTTTTTGCAACAAAAAGGCCCAACCTCCACTGAAGGGGCCGAGATAATTACCAATACTACGGTTGATGACATAAATCCTGCATTACCTTAAGGACCCTAAACTATGGGAATTATGGTATATTCCTTATTATGGGTCATGCAGGATTTATATCATCAACCGTATTGTGGGGGTTCCCCATAAGAACTACAGAACAATCGGCCACCAAACCCTATTCCAATTACTAAAGCCCCTATACCATAGTACCCTAAAAGCTCCCTTATAGTATCCCTTAAAGGAACCCTTTGAAAGAGCCCTATTCTAACTATCAAGGCCCCTATACTAAAGTACCCTACTGTAGATCCCTTATAGTAACCCTTATATAGACCCCTTTAAAGGGAACCCTATTCTAACTATTAAGGCCCAACCGGAGCATCTTGAAACCTTGATCTCCCCCTTTCGACGGAGGGCCTCTGGCCGGATGAGGTCACCTCACAGCTCCGTTTAGGGTTTAGGGAGTTTTGGGGTTTAGGGCTTAGGGTTAAGGGTTTGGGGTTACTAGTTCATGGTTGGGATAGGATTAAACATCTATACACATCTTTATTCCTTATTGGGTTTAAGTACCCATAAAACGTAACATGTTACTCAACTATGACAAAGATTTAGGGATGATTACAGTTTAGGCTTCGACAGCTTAGGATGACTTCCAAAGCCCGTTCAGGTCGGGTAGTTAGGGCATTTTGGGACTGCTTTTGTGTGCCTAGGGTTTCGGGATGTGTAGCGTTCATGATATACCTCTAGTTGCCTTAGTTATAGCCCTACCTACTAAATCGCTTGACTCATGATTAAGTATGGCCTAAGCTGCAGCAGCATCAGCAGCAGCTTGGAATGATCTGCTCATACTTACGCAGGAGGAACTTCGGTTGTCGTCATGTAGGGCCCTGTCTGCATATCAACGTGTCAGTACAGACATGCATGTACCTATCTATACGTACATACGCATGATTACGAATGTACATGAGCGCTTATCGATCTGCTTCCATGTTATCGCGATGCATCAGACAGGCCTTGATTCAGAGATTCAGGTTGCAGATCTTTGCATGAAAGGCTTCGATGATGTTGGAGGTTTGACAAGGATTCGTAAGTGAGTTGCTTCCAACACCCTGCCTGAAGACGTCCATGGGTGCGGGCCTAGAAGGCTTTGAAAACCCAAAGCTCTGCAGCCCCCAAACCCCAAACCCTGTAATGTAGGGGCCTTAACAATTAGAATAGGGTTTGGGGGGCGGTATATTATACACGAAAATTAAAACCCGCACAAAGCCTACTCTGTTTATGAAGGCCCCGAAACTTATAACCTTCCAGCACCTCCTCAAAGGAGCTGGAACCAAATGCTCGAAACATGTAGGCTTTATCGCAGGAGCAGGAGAACCGAGATTTCTCGTCGACAACTCGCGTGAGGATCTGGGACGTACCGGTTTTACAAAGATGAGAGTGCAGGCAAATACTACAGATTCCTTCGAAAGGGGACGTTTTCTCGTCGCATCTCCACTGTAACTCCACCCCATGTTGATGCTTCTGATCTTCCTGGCCTGCAATGGTTGTGGTCACCGCACCAACGACCCACTGGACGCGATTGTTCCCGGTGTCCTTGTTGCACTGCAGATCGACTTCGAATGGCTTGGGACACCCTTCCATGTGTCGGTAGAGAGGATGCAGATGACTGTCAACTGCGAAGCATTAATGGTAGACAGCTGAACACGTCTAGTAAAGGTCACATCACGGCTTAGGGTTTAGGGTTCAGGGATCACACCCCACCAGAGCAAGTGTCAGCAATGAACACCTCGCCGGCCAAGTTCACGAACACCCCGTGCGGATCCAGAAGTTGATCGAGACCTGGCCACTGTACCCGCAGAGCTGATTGTCATCACTTAGGGCTTTAAAAACTTCTATATGTATGGAACATCTTTATAAAATACATAAATATATACATATATATCCACAAACACATACATACATACATATACGCACATTATATAGACAGATACATATATATATATATATATATATATATATATATATATCACTTCCTTTCCTTTTGAGCTGTGCGCGAGCTGAGGATCAGTGCAGGCTTGCAATTTCTGAGGTCCGAGGCAGAGTCGTATAGACCCTAAGCTATGGCTATACACGGACAGTAGTAACCTGCTGATTACATACCTGTAGTCTCCATTGTAGTTCCTTTTTGGTTAACCAGTTTTATGGTTAGGACCCTATAATAGAGATTTTGGTAAACCAAAAAAAAGGAACTACAATGGAGACTATAGGTAGTATCCCGGCTTCATCTGGGCTTCGAGGGAGTACGAGCCCGGCGCCTCCTGATATCTTCTGATTCGGGGACAGGGGGCACTAGTAAGGTGATGAATCATCCGGGGTTTAAGGTTCAGTGTTTGGGGTTGAAGGGCTTTTAAATTACAGTTCGGATCCGCGCCCTAAAACCCTTAACTTTAGGGTTTCGGGGTTTAGGGTTCTTTAGGGTTCCTAAGCCCTTAACGTGAAGCCGTACCCATGCTTGGGGAGGCAGCGCCTGGTCCCCCGCGGCAGCACGTGGCTTCGTATCCGCGGATCTGTCCCTGCCGATCCTGGGGTTTAGCGTTTTTGTTTGGGGGTTTGGGGTTCATTTGGGAGTTTGCGAAAACTAGGGGTACCTTATTTTGGGGTCCTTATAATGAGGATCCTACTATTTGGGGTACTATATTAGGGTCCCCTATTTTCGGAAACTCCCATTTAGGGTTTTCTAAACCCTATAGTCATAAAATTACCCTAAACCCTCTGCGCGTCGGGATTTCGCATGTCACAGACTCAACAAATACAGAAACTAAAACTATATGTATGTATGTATGTATATATATATATAGAGAGAGAGAGAGAGAGGCACCATAAGGGGTACTATAGAGATTTTACTATGAGGGTTACTGTAAGGGCTCTGATGTTGGGGCCTTGGTCTTTGGAGTAGGCTTTTGAGATATGTGCATTACAGCATGTTCAGCATATGTATGCAAGGATATCCAACCCTGACTGTGCAGACCTCTACATACACTTAGTATACTAGGGAATTACTCATGTAAAAAAAACTCAGTATTGCTAGGGGCTAGGAGGCTCAACTAAACCACGCCTGGAGTTTGACTGACCTTGCACCCCTCTGCACTCCGCGAGAATGAGCCCGGACTCGTAGAGGACGCCGAGCTCTCCAGCCACCAGCACTCCGGAGGAAGCCCCTGGTACAGTGCCGCACTAACGTACCCAGAGGCCCCATAGTAGTTCCGTTTTTTGGGAATACCTTATAGGATTCTACATATGAACTCTACAAAGGAACTAGTTTGGGGCCTCCGGGTAGTGTGGGGGCGGGTCTAAAATCAAGTAATGTGTCATCTCCTAGACCCTCAATGCAAGGATGAGAAAACTCAGACAGTATCTATTGCCCTGAACTCAGGACCCTGTCCAAAAAGATTCCATTTCTTATTACCTCTCAGGGATTATCGTCCAAAATTTAGCATGTATTTCCGACTGAGAACCCTGACCAAACCCTGAGCTCCATCCGACACCTGCTCCAACATCCCAGCGGACGACGCGATGGTTTCCACTGTCAGCCACGAAGAGGCCTTATGGAGGCCAGCAGGGTTTAGGGTTTTAGGCTTTTTGGGGTTAGGGTTTCGGCTTTTGGGGAGGGTTAGGCTTTTTTGGGTTTAGGATCTATGACTGCGAGTTGTATCTGGGAGTGTGCGCTCAGGACATTTGCGTTTTGGGGTGTCGGGCCGTGCTGGTGAAGATTCCCATTCTAGGGGCCTGACATGAAAGCGCCCACCCCTGCATATACAGAAAAGGACTAAACGGTCAGAATACAGAAAAGGACTAAACGGTCAGAATACAGAAAAGGACTAAACGGTCAGAACGATTCCCTCACATGTTGACAGGTTGTGCTTTCGAAGTTTGGCTCTTCTCAGCCGTTTCTTTGGGCTGCCGCGTGCTTCAAGGCTCTCGCGTGGTGTTTTCGAAATGTTGGTCTCTCGTAGGGTCCTCATCGCATTGTGGACCCTGTTTAACAAACCCGCTACCTGAAAAGGGAATTTGAATAGAGATCCTAATCAAAGGCGCGTAAAGGAGGTGCGCTGTTTGATTTGGACAGCCTGCGGGGGCTGTCAAGATTCTCTCGAGGTGCATCACCCCCTGGATACACCTACAACCTGAAACCTGGCCCCGAACACCTGAGCCCTATGAACCCTAAACCTGATCCCTTTCTGCCCTATATCCCGAAACCCAAACCAGTGGTGCCAATAAACCCTGCGGGACATGTCCGATTTCGTTGAGGGCAGAGCGAGAGAAGTCATTCCAAAGGGCTTCTCGGTGTCTATATAGGGTCCAAAGGACCCAATAATTCGGTACCGGTCTAGGATCGTAGCAACGTAGGTCAGTATTTGCGCAGTCCAAACTTTGTGGCCTTGACTTTCGAATGTGAGAGTGCCTTTAAGAATTATGGACGGTTTAGGGTTTAATTGGGCCTTTAGGGTTCAGGGTTTAGGGTTTACACCAAAGACCCTAAACTTTGATGGTAGTACCTCTTTCCCAGAAAGTCCGAGCTGCGGCCGGTGGTGTCCAAGAAGATTCCGCGAGGGAATCTGAGCTCATCAAGGCCTGCGAATCTGCGAATCAAGGCTTGGGTTGAAGTTTAGGGTTGAAGCTTAGGGTTTAGCGTCTTGGGAATTTGGGATTTACATAAGGTTTTAGAGTTTAGCGTTTTTGGGGGTTTAGGGTTTGGGGTTCAGGGGTACTTTTTCACAGCTCTTAGCTGAAGAGACCTCCGAGTCTCGCAGGCTAACGACTCGCTGCTTGGGGACATTACACACTTAAAGGATCATGGGACTTAGTAACTAGGGTTATAATAAGGGTAACTATACTTATAACCCCAATTAGGGTACTTATAACCTTACTTACTAAGTCCCATGATCCTCCAAGCAAGCACCTGCTGGTCTCCACCGTAGTTCCTTATTTGGGGGTTACCATTGAGGATTCTTCATCGATACAATTTTGGCTAAACCAACAAAACAGGAACTACCTGGACCCCATAAATCCTTCCTTATAGAAGTCCTTAGAAAGGTAGGTTTTTTGGGGGTTGCGGTACAATGGAGACTATACTTGGCTGACTTCGGAACCCCTCCTATTTTACTAAAAGTTAAACCTTTAGCCCCTTCAGATATCGCTCAAGGTCCGAGTCCATATCGTGGCCGCGTGATCGCAGCAGCACACCAGAAGTCTCACCCGCAAACCTCCTAAACCCTACAGTATTACAACAACCGTAAACCTCAAGTAGTAGGTGGTTCTTGAGATGAGCATGACTAGTGACTAGTACCGTTATGGGTTCTGAACGAAGACGATAATCATGCTGATGACGGCCCTGGCCCTCACTGTTTCTCAGACGCTCATGAGCACGCAAGCCTCAAATGCTTGAGACCTCGCAGAAACCCCAGATAGGACCAAGCAACAACGTGTCTGTACGCTCAAGCACAGGGTTCGAACCTTGCTCAGGACATACCTATGCACATGGCAGTTTAGAGCATATTTTAGAGTTGCCTATACTATTTTAGGAGTTCCTGATTATAACTAAAGGATGCTGGGCTTCAAGACCCTATTAGTTCTAGCTAGTATGGCCCCTATGTAAAGTACCGTCGTCCTGAAAGAGTAATTAAACTTCGTAAGCCCCAAAGCCAGGAACCATGATCCCTAAAATCAAACCCACCTAAACCCTAAACCCTAAGCCCCGAAACCCCTAAACCGCTCAGGACCTAAACCCGCAAGCGCGGGGCCATGAACTCTTTAGCTGCCTGAGTCCAGAGCCCCAAAATCCTGCAGCGAGTATTAGCGTTATTCGTATTAATTATATAGTGTTGGTATTGTTAACATTGTTGCTAAGTTCATTATTATTCATGCTCTTATTCAGGAATAGGCCTAGGTTTTACCCCCACCTATGGCCTCCGCTGTAGCTCTTGGTTTTGGTTTAACCACTTGTCCTTCAAGGAACTTACAGGTAACCGCAAAAGGAAACACCAAACCTTTTGCAATCTTAACGGCTTCGGTTTTAGAAATTTGAATGATGGCAAATCCAAGAATTGCGGAGTGAGCCGTGGGAGGAGTTGCAAATAGTGCAGATTAGTTGCCCGCAACATGATCCTGTTCCGGGTACCCTACATACTGAAAACCCTCCTTGCCAAATCCGTACATAAACCCTTATAAAACCCCAAACGGCCTGATACCGCTGTATAGAAACTTAAATCCCTGTTTTTCGAACCTGTTGTGGCTTTCCCGAAGCTCTAGTTTGGGCTTGGCCTGAACCAGCGCGGAGACCACCGGCGACAGTTTCCACAACTTGGGAACCTGGCATCCACTTCCTGAGATCAGGGCCAGTTTAGGTTTAGGATTTAAGGTTTAGGGGTTTAAGGCTTAGGGTTTAGGATTTAGGCTTTAAGGCTGATGGTTTTTTAAGTTTGTTCAACATGTCCTGACGCGTCTTTCTGCAGGCGTTGCTTCAAGGCTTAGGGTCTAGGGTTTAAGGCTTAGGGTTTAGGGTTTAAGGCTTAGGGTTTAAGGCTTAGGGTTTAGGGTCTAGGGTGCAGTTCACCACTGAGGGTTTCGAGCTGCGGACTTTCGTGCTGACAGCCTGGGGCTCAAAGGCGTAAAGATGAGGGTTGATTCGGAAACTTGAACTTAGTGGTTGAGTACCCTAGCCCAGGAAACTTTAACCTCTTCACGGTAGGGTTATATAAGCCCCAAAAAGTCAAAGGTTACCTACTCAGCTACCAAGTGAACTCATGCATCCAGCTCTCATTGAGGCTGCAAGCAGGTTGCAGACATTCCGCCAAAAGTCCCAAACCTAGACCCCCGCACTGCGAAACCCCCAAACCCTACGAGTAACACCACCTTCACAGTCCGGGTCGAATACTTTGCGGCTTTGCGGGTTTAGGGTTCCAAAAGTGAACCTTCATAACAATCCGGGCCAAGGTTACGTCTGATGATGCTGTCAGATTCTAGACTTGGCAGTGGCCTGCATCTTAAATCTTGGCCCCTCTTGATGCTGCTCCATTTAATTGCAGCGACTGACAGTAGCTCCATGATTTTGGCGATGTTGAAGTATTTCTTGTCGTTCTTACTCTCCCTTGCTTTTGCAGTGTGGCAAGTCCTGATGGCCCTACACCTGTACATCATTTTTGAATTGAGCAGAACTGTCCATCGCAATGCCGCAGGTGCTCTGGATGCGATGGTTCATCGTATCTGACACGTACGTGGCACCTGTGGTCTCGTCGCGTACCACCTTGGGCTTAAGGTTCAGAGTCTGCTTGGAGGACTGGAGACCCTCAGTAAAGAGTCTTTCGACTAGGGTTAGATTACACATAAGCTGTCTAGATGGCACGGATGAGGGGGAAATGGTTGGCCCCCCGGTCCTACGACTATACCCCCCTTGGAACCATAGTACAAAACATGTTGGTAATCTTCTCATGGGGCTTATATGAACACGATAAAAAAGTAATTCCTAAGGAGACTATAGACTATAGGTCCTACTACCTGTCAGCTGTTGGTGTCTGCCCTGATACGAACTTATCAACCAACAGGCCCACCAGGCAAAACCTCACAGGTACCCGAAAGAGCTACCCGGTAGCTGCTTGCAGGCACCTGCCTGTCAGGTGGGGAACACCACAGGAATATACATGAAGAAACGCAAACACTCCTGTCAGCAGTAAGAATAACAGTTCCAAATTCCAAATAGCGATTGATAAAGATGCATGCCCAAACAAAAGAGATACCTTCACGGGATGCGAAGACGTCTCAAGCGAAGATTAGTGGCTGAAGATTCAGATGGGATCCTAAAATTTCAGCCAACAGCGACTCCGCAGCTTCAGGGCTGGAGGGCTCTATTTAGGCACCTAGGGCTGCAGGGTCTCGTTTCGATTTGTGTAGACGCCTGCTTATTTACAACAACTCCCTATGAGGGCCTTACTGTTGTTTACAGTAGGATCTCGATTCCGGTTGATAACCACGCCTGATCTGAGCATCACGCACAACGATAGCGCCCAAAACCCCCCTGCCACTGTACGCTCCTATTTCGACTCTTGCTGTGGGTCTTACGAGTCTTACGGGTCATTCCTTTTAAAGCGTGGCTGCTGCCCTAACCATTTTTGCCACGACTTGCGGGTAACAAACAAAAGGCAGAACCAAGGCACTGCTCTACACCCTAAACCCGAAACCCCAGAACTAATCATAGCACTTTAAACACCCGATAAACTCGAAACCCAGGACCTGATGACGGTACTCTAAAACCCTAAACCCCAAACCAAACAACATATCACCGTATTGCACGTGACCCTAAAGCCTCAATCTCATAACTAATAGCAGTACCCTATCAACCCTACTTGGACACCAAAAAATGGGTAGAATAATGGCCTTTTGCAGGTATTGGGCAATTATTTTACCTACTTTGGGGGGGTTTGGTAAAACCGAAAACCTATTATAACTAATAACAGTGCCCTAAACCCTAAACCAAAAGCAATGCCTCCTGACTTGCAGCAAGGCTGCCCCATAGGGCCGAGAGAGCTGCTGGTCGGCGTTGCCTCGTTCCAAGCCCGAGATAAGAGGACCCATCCTCGACCCGAAAGTGCCCGAAACCTGAAATCCTGAACCCCTGAACCCTAAACCCCTCCGAAACTTTTGAATCGTAAGTTTGGGGTTCTGAGTTCATGGCTTGAGGTTTTGGTTTTGGGTTTAGGGGTTAAAGATTTAGATTTAGATGCTTAACGTTTCGGGCCTCAGCTTTCTAAACCCCCAGAGGCAGGCTCCCTCCTTCTCCGCAACCTGAACATGTAGACCCGAGGCCTAGCCAACAGGGGACTGAAGGTTCAGGGTTCAGGGTTTAGGGTTTAGAGTTTTGGGTTAGGGACTAGGGTTTTGTGTTCTAGTATACTTTTCTTGCAAGAAGGAACAGGAAGGAATGATACGTGTAACTATCCCGACCCTATGTTACATCCTACAGCCTGCATCCTAAGTCCTAGCCGGATCATCCAAAGGAACCTCTGCCTCGAACATTCTAACATGTGGATTGTGCGGGGGCTGCGGTGGAGGGTTTAGGGTCCCAGGGTGTACGGTTCGAAACCCTATGAAACTCGGCAGACACTGTTGATGATACAAATCCTGCATTACCTTAAGGACCCTAAACTGTGGGAACTATGGTATATTACTTGTTATGGGTCATGCAGGATTTATATCATCAACCGTACCACCCATCTCTCCAACGCAGGAATGCTCTAGCCTTGGCGCCAGCCCCCTGCCAGCAACTCGATCGGATACACCGTCTTCCTTGGAGAGTAAAGCTTTTTCACACTGCTGATGATATAAATCCTGCATTGCCCATAATAAGGAAGATACCATAATTCCCATAGTTTAGGGTCCTTAAAGAAAGGCAGGATTTCATCCACCGTAGGGTTACAAAAAGCTATGTAGGGATTCGCTGCATCTTCCTTGGGTAGTTTAGGTTTTCACGGGATCTTCAACGCATGAAATCTTCCATGGATAATGAAGGGCTCGGATGAAGATTTCATCAGGTTTGTAGGGTATTGGAAGGGTATATAGGCTGACACCTTGCAAGTATCGCCAATACATCAGAAAATGCAAGGACACTCATCAAGCTTTCAACAGGAGCCCTATTATGTGCACATCCCGGTCTTCCAGAAATTTTAAGTTTGCGGCGTTTCAGGCTTGAGAGCTGTTTCAGGGTTTAAGGCTGGAGCCGTAGGGCTCAGGGGTTTTGGCTCAGGGCTTGTTGATCAGGCTAGGCTGTTGAGCTCCAGCCGTTAGTAAGTCATCGAGATACCGGCCTAAACCCTATAAGCCCCCTTAAGCCCTAAACCCTAAAACCCTACAAGCCTTTAACCCCAAAACCCTAAAGCCCTTGAGCCCTAAACCCTAAAACCCTAGAGCCCTAAAACCCCAAAACCCTACAGCCCTAAACCCTAAACCCCTAGAGCCCTAAAGCCCTTAAGCCCTAAGCCCTTGCTACAAAAACCTGAAGCCCCTTAAACCCTAAACCCCTACCCCGCAGGAGCTTAGCAGGGCTGCAGCGGTTTAGTTTACGAAGGGACAGAGCCCGCAATGATGCTTTGCTTTATTCAATCTATGGTAGTCATACGGTTTTCATGAAACAAACTTATGATCATCCCTAAACTTTCCCCAGAAGAGAGCCGCCCGAACAATTACTACTTAGCTTTAAACCCCTATAAACCCTGATCCCTAAACTGTCATTGTTACCCTTGGTACTACTGTTCTGTTTGCGGAGATCGGCCAGCTGCTGCCCAGTCACTTCTGCAAGCTCAGCTGACGGGCTTTGTGCCTCGGCAACTCTCAAACCCAGAGCTAAACTCTGGAGCGGTAGGTACGGCTAGGAGTGCGTGGTGTGAGAGCTCAGCTTCTTCCCCCAAAGTGTCAAGGTTTAGGTCTTTTAGTGTATTTTGCACTGGGGTGTGGGGCTCTCAGCGGAACGCTCTTTCGGAGCATTGGAGTTTCGGGTTAGAGCTTGCCTCACTACATAAACCAAGCTGTAGGCTGCAAGACCTTCAGTCACAGACTGCTCAAGCTCCGCCCTTGGAAGCTCGGAAAACATGGCCTATGCCAAGCCCATCATTGCCTCCTCCTCCTTGTTCGGGTTAGGCTTACATCGGACGGCCCAGACTTTGGCTAAACCCTGGACCCCAAACCCTAAACATTGGACCCTGAACCTTATAAACCTCGAACCCTAACTACAAGTCTACATATCAACGCATCGCCGTTTAGAAGCAACCTCCACTCGCCGGGTGGGGGGGGGTCTACGAGGCACCGTCAGGCCCTCAATCCAAATCTCCGGACCCGAAACCCTATCTCTTATAGACTTATAATTATAAACATCACAACCCCAATTAGGATCCTCTTTCAGGGACTTATACGTCTACCTTTATAGACTTGCGTATAAATCTCATAACCCAATTATATCCTCTTTCGGGGACTTATTCGCCTACAAGTCTACAAGAGGCTATAGGGCCTAGAACTCCACCGCCTCTGCCCTGCACACCAGCCCAAAGGCACCGAAGTCACACCCTGAGCCTCGGACAGATACGCCTCTCCCTCATCTTCGCCCTCCTCCGCCGGCAACGTCGCCGTCGACTCCTTCTGAGGGGCCTTTATGGGTTTGGGGTCCGGGGGTGCCCGGGTTTGGGGGAGGATCTGGAGTATGTGGGGAAGGTGGATTGACATCTTCGGGGTTAAGAAGGCTCTAGAGTCCAAGATTCGGCTTTCGGATATTCCGGCCTGTGGGCTTCAGGGAATGAACTAAAAAGCTTTCTCATCCGAGGTTTAAGACTTCACGGAACAGGTTCTTCCGGCTTCAAGCGTCTCAGACTTCGAGGGTGATGTGCGCTGGACGTTCTGCATTCAGGGCTCATAGGGCTTTGATGGGTCAGAGTATCGTCTTGTGGGAAATTATCAAGCAATACCGAAAAAATGGATGCAGCGGCTACATATTGTTGTAGTTGCATGGCAGTGTGGGAGTAAGTAGATGTGCTAACTCAAGCTACTGCAATTAATGATTTCGTCATGGGCTTGACGGCGAATTAGAAACGACTTCTTTCTGGGCTGCCCTGTTGATACGCATGGGGGTCTTGTGATTAGGAGTCTCTCTTTGTCTGGGGCTGTACGTCAAAGGCCGGGAGACGCGAAAACCCTAACCTAAACTCTAAACCCTAAACCCTAAACCAACCAACCTAAACTCCAGGAATCCAGACCAAATAAGCTCTTGAGCCCCAAAGCCAGCCACGGAATCTGAACCACCCGTGATCTTCCCGAAGCTCGTGGTTTAGGGTTCAGGATTATATAATGTGGGAACCTGATTAAGAATCCCTGGGCCTAAGGGTTCCTTTAAAGGGGTCCATGAGGGTTACTATAAGGGATTCATAAGGCTACGATAATAATGTAGGAACCTGATTAAGAAACCTTGGGCCTTTATTGGGGTTCCTTATATGATTCCTACTATAAATTGGTCTCGAAGAAACTGTAGGTTGGGTACTGCCCCCACCCTGTAATCGTCTACATGAACGGTCATATTCCGGGCTTCAGGGACTTATGTGATAAATTTTAGACTGCTGCTACTGCTACAGAGTGGGTGCAGTCCTCAAACCATAAGGTTTGGTTTAACCACTTATATATTCAGGATCCTAAGAGGTGCCCCAAAAAAGGATCTACAACAGAGACTACAGGATTCATAGTAACCCTGGGGCAAAAACTCCTCGGGCGTTGCGCTGTCACGACCGTCTCCGGTCTCTGCGAGCTCTGAGGCTGCCTGGAGGTCGACCGTCAACTCCTCTCGGGTTTCAGAGGGTCCAGGGTTTGGGGTTCACTTGTGGTTCAGTGCCATGGGCTTGGGTTCAGGGATATGGGTTGATATACGAGCCTCTATACCTAGAACCTTTTTTCCGGAGGTGCTATAGTCTCATTATTTTAATCCCTCGGAAATACTCGAAAATTCTTCAGGCATCTATATCCCTATACTCGCGAGCCCTGAACCTCAAAACACGACGACAGCGCAAAAGAAACAAACAAACACCATGACCAAGCTTTCAATTAATGCAACTTCCCTAAACCCTAAACCCTAAACCCTAATCAAGCGCCAAGCCCTAGTGCTCCGAGCTACAGTTTAGGGCGCCGGGTGCTTTATGGCTGCTAGGCCCGTCAAAACCTCTAGGGTAGAAGCCAGAAAGTTGGAATATCATTATCATACTCCCTTTAAGGTAAATTATAGGGGATCCTGCCATTATTCCATATTCCAACTTTCTGGAGTTCCTTTTAATCGGAAACCCAAACCTTAAAACTCTAAACCACCACACCCTAAACCCCGATAGACACCCCTGGACCTCGTTGGGTTTACAGGGGCCTTCCTTGTGCACTTGGGCTTCGGGCTCCAGGGCGTGTAAAAGAGACTTTCATCTATTTAGGCGCTTCAGGGATTGAGGGGTTTCGGGGTTTAGGGTCAGACCTGTACGGCTTAGAGGGCTTCTGGGATTCAGGACTTCGGGTTTAGGGTCGAGGGCTCATTGATAATGTGGGGGGGGGATTGTCGGACAATCCTCAAGCCTAAACCTCAAAGACCCCCTCGCAGAACTGCTAACGATCTTCAATAACCCGAGCGGTCTGTTGAATAAGTAGCCGGATCTTCCCGCTTCTCGTGCTGCCTTGGAGACCAAGCTTTGATTTGGTATTCGTCTTAGGGGTTTAGGGTGTAGAGTTTGGGTTCAGGGATTAGTATATGGACTTATTCTTGCAGGAGTAAGAACCTAATTTCACATTTACCGTTGGCATTGCTTGCTATTTTTGGTGCTCCTTTGAAAGAAGGACTTCGGTCCTTAAGGCTACTGCTTCTTTGCTCGGGTCATGGGTCAAAGGTTGGAGCTTTACAGAGTTTGGGGCTCAAGCGGGGGGGTAGGCAGTTGTGATGGAAAAACGACTTATGGCACAAAGCTTAGGGCTCTGGCTTGATCTAGGGTACTACTCACTATTCGTGCTTAATTATGGGTCAGGATTCCGGTGCACAAGTTTGGAGGTTATGAAGGCTGCTACCTTACAGCAGCTGTGCGTCGTCTCTAATGTACGAGCTTTCATAATTTTGGGTCCCATTATATTATATGTATATATATATATATATATATATACATAATTAGGTGCCACCAAAGTAGTATTGGTAATTATTTAGGCCCCTATATTCTTCGATTTGAGGCCCTGGCCGCCCCACGTCGCCGTCGAGAGGAGGCTCTGGTTTCAACACCTCGTCCCGGACATGGGATTCCCCGAGCGTCTCGAGCAAGTCCTTGGGTCACTGGCTTACAAACCCTATAAACCAAAACGTTAAACACAAAAAACCTAAAGCAACTCCAAAATTCTGGAAGTGACAGCTGGGGTCTAGCATTTATAGACGGACCGTAGGGCCGATTGCATTGCAGAGTCTGGCGTTCTTGACTTGGGTTTGACAGGGTCTATTCAGGCTTAGGGTTCGAGGTTTAAAGCCTAGTAGGAGTTGAGGCAGGGTTCCCACCGCTGCTAACATCTATTATTTTTATTATATTTGACACCCAAGATACTAAACCCCGCATGCTGAATTCCCTAAACCGTAAGATCAACAATATAAGGCCTCCTCAATTCAGAAGCAGACCCCCCTTGGAAGACGCTTGCAGCCCTAGAAGCCCTTGTACTCCAAGGAGGACTTGACAGTTTTTGATACAGCTCTCCCTGCACCCCATCCTAATTTTGAACTAATATAGAACTCTGATGTACCGGTATAGAAACCTTTGGGAATCCTGATAAGAAGCCCATACAAAAACACCAAAAAAAGCTGAACTCGTATATACAGATACAGAAAAAATGAAAAAATACAAAAACAACAAAAAAGCTGCCAGCAGATGAGAGCCCAGGCTCCCGAAGCGAAGCGTCCGGATCCCTGCCCTCATCTGCCCCTGCAGATAATTTTGGGATCTTGGGTTTAGGGTTTTCGGTTTGAGGGTTTTGTGGTTTAGGGGTTCAGGGTGTAGGGTCTGGGGTTTTCGGTTTGAGGGTTTCGGGGTGTAGGGTTTAGGGCTTTCTGTTTGAGGGTTTAGGATTGTTGTAAGGGGTACTACTACGGTGGGCGACTGTTGTACTAGAAGGATGTTCTACTGATCCTTGCTAAGGCCGTTCACATGTTCGTCTATCGCCCGCATCCTTCACTGACGAAGCCCAAGCCCGTAAGTGTGTACACTCTTCAAGATGATGCTCGTTTCGCGGGGGGGTTACGTCCGAACTCCGAATACCCTATCTTCACAATCGCCGGAATAAAAACCGCCCTGCCGCACCCGGCCTGACCCGTGCAATGGTTCCGCGATGTTGGCCTGCACTGTGGTAACCCATCTCGCTGTGTCGACAATGCTGTTGTTTCTGGTGGTGGTGCCTTTGGCTGTCCTCCTAGCTTCATTCTATGCTGACATGTTCGGGCTTGCGGATCACAAAGGTGTTAGGGTTCCATGCATAGGCTTCAGGAAGCTAAGAGCTTTGGAACCGCCTGCAAAAGAGGACCCTAAACCCTAAGTTTGAGGAAATGGAAGACATCAGTCGTCGTTGTGACATTTCACGACCACAAAAACATCCAAAGCCGCCACTAGTCAAAACCATGGTGATGAGATCCACAGCTGCCATCACAGCTACCTGAGGCGTACAATCATGATGATGATCACGGATACTCAGATGTTCAGGGCACGTAGTACGAATACGGCTATATGTGTCGCAACTGCGGTTATTGGATTCTTAACCAGATGTAACTATGGTTACCTGAATGGCCGATCCTTCACCGGGTGTCGATTTCAAGAGTCCCCAAATTACTTTGAAGACACGCTCTGTATTGAATATATGCTGAACAATAAAGGAAGTCTACAAACATATACGCTGGACTCCCAACTACCACAAGCAAGTCCTGGTCCGCGACGGGGTCAAAAGATTCAGTGAACCTTTGCGCACCCCAAGGCTGCTAGAAGGGTTTTGTTTCATAGGGTGGTTGCTTCTCTTCTGTGGTCTTATGACATCAAATCATACAAGTCTGGGTGGTTGTCAAAATTCAGGTCCCATTTCTGGTCCCGAATATAGTACGGCAAAACATTTATTCCTAAAATGGAACATTGAAGTTCGGATCGCTACCTGCAAGACACCCGGCAAGGAAGGTCAGTTACAGGGCCTGAATAATTAGAACAGGGCTTTGGGGGCTTTGGGGTACTTTCTACCGCAATTGTAACAAGGAGCCCTAGGGAATAGCATTGTTTGGGCCCCTCTACGAGTGTGAAGCAGTCCTCTGGCTTGTCTTTTCTGCAACACTGGGCCGAGAACTGCTAGGTTCTTGTCCAATAATTTGAGTTACCATAACAGGGATCTATAGTAAATAAAATGGCTTCTTTATAAAAGCAACTTAAACCTCAAACCCTAAACTCTACACCCCTAAAGGAACCCCTGTAGATCCCTTCAAAGAACCCTTTTATCTCAAATCCCTTAACGAGAACCCAGACTTCTGTGATGGGGCCCGTGCTCTGGAGGAAACACTGGAACGGGTGGCGGCGCAGGAGCTGCCTTCTTCAAACAGGCCCTACTTGGAGGTTCATGGGTAGCTATAAGTAGGGTTATGAGTAGGGTAACTATACTTATAAGCCATATTAGGGGACTTATACCCCCACTTAAAACTACCCATGAACCTCCAAGTGAAGCATAAACCCCTGCACCCTAAACTGTGTCTACCAGAACACAGGGTGCTGGCGTAGAGCGGTTTTGGGTGTTTGAAGACTTGATTTGTTGGGGTCTGAGGGTTTTGGATCTTGGGTACCAGGATCTTCCCGGCTGGGGGGTCTACATTACTTGCAACGGTTTAGGTTAGGTACGGCCCCCATACAGTAATAGTCTTTCATAGGGCTACTTTTTTGTAATATATCTATATAATAACTATTATCCAACTATTACTGAGTGGGGGCCGTAACCAAGGTTTAGGGCCGTTTAGGGTTTAAGGTTTTGGGTTTAGGGTTTGAGTTTAGGGAGTCGTCAACTAGCGGTACTAAGCTTTGAGACCAAGGGCCGGGGTAACAACAAGCCCGAAATGATTCTCAAGTGCAACAACTCTTGGTATCCATCCACAGAAGAAGAGCCAGCTGTGTGATATAAAGGGAACTCCAGAAAGTTGGAATATGGTTTCAGGGTCGGATACCTTATAATTTACCATAAAGGGTTTAGGATAATCATATTCCAACTTTCTGGCTTTTACTTTAAAAGGCTGGTTGCACCTGGTTGACCACAAACCGATACAACTGAATCGTAGACAGCCTTAACTCCGCTCGGGAGCCCCTATGAACCCTGTGTATTTAAACCAGTTCCTAAAGACCTCCAGAAAGCCTCCAGACCTTTCAACCCTAAACTATACTGAACTTAGAACCCTAGCAAAAATTGTAATTTTGGCTGTTTCTTAGGGATTATGATAACCAAAAAGTAAAACATGCTTCAAAGTACCCCTAAGAGACTCTGTCAACTCAACTTTGGGCTTCGAAGCCGTCGACGAGCCATGTCGACACAACAAAAAGGCGACTGGGCCAAAGCCTCTGGCTTCAAAACCCTGGCAACTTAGGGCTCAGGGCAAGTTTAGGGTTTGGGGCTTAGGGGGTTTAGGGTTTAGGCTGCGCAGGTTCGTAGCTTCAGGCTTGGGATGCAAGGGCTTGGATACGCCTCCTCCAGCGCAACGGAGTGCCTGGCAAACGGCAGAAGGCCAAACATATTTGGATTTAGGGCTTGGGTATAAGCTTAAGGGTTCTATGGTTTAGTGTTTGGGGGCCATATATAGTTTATTATCACAATGGGGCATTGAGGGAGGGGGGACTATCTTCTAGTATTATAGTTACACGGTGTATCATTAGTCTCTCTTGTGGTTCCTTGTTTCGGGCTGGCTGCTTCTTTTGTAGTTTCCTAACCACCCATAGAGTAGGTTAGCCAAAGAACAGAAGGAGGACCTACATGGAGACTATCGGTAGGGCCTGAGGGCTTGACATGACGGTGTTTACTGTCTAAGCTTAGGCCGTCATCGCTTGTGACTGTGCCACGAAAACTAATAAAAACCACTACCACTGCCGCTGGAACTTCTGCGCAAACCAAGGCAAACTCTCAGCAGAAGCAGTGAGCCAGACACTCTGATATCATAGGGATCCTTAGGGGGGGGGGGGGGGAGGGAGGTAGGGGGCTTTAATGCCTAGACTTAATGGCCTATTTAAGGAAGTATAGTCCCCTACCCCCCTCCCGCCCCTTAGGGTCTGTATGATGATACGAAACTCCGAACCCTGAGCCTACTTTCCGTTTTGAAGTACCCTGAACTGCACACAAACCAAAAATTCTGGCCCTGGTGACAAATCCCTCTATGCCCAAACCCGGGTACCCAATGCGCGGGCTGAATATGTAGGCGACGGTTTGGGGTTAACTGGTATACTTGTACACAAACTTTAAGCAGCTATTTTTTATTTCGTCCCATATTCGTCATGGGAACTCTTCATGGGAGCATGATGTCATAAGGACCCTTAAGGGGGGTAGGGGGGAGGGGGCGTAGGGGGCCTTAATACCTAGACTTAATAAGGCCTATTTACCGAAGTATAATCCCCTACCCCCTCCCCACTACCCCCCTAAGAGTCCCTGTGATGATACTTACCCAAAACTCTCTAATTACTCGCTTAATTAAATCCCTAAGGCTATTATTCCTGGGATTTCGGCTGAAATCGTCCAACTGGCGGTCACAATCCCCTACCCCCCTCCCCACTACCCCCCTTTTAAGGGTCTCTACCCCCCCTCCCCACTACCCCCCTTTTAAGGGTCCCTATGATGAAATCGTCAAACACTGGCGGTCCTGCTAGCCGACAGCGCCAAAATGATCCAAGCTCCGACCATGGCAGGCCAGGGAGGTTGCTGTAGAAACTTTGGGTTGTTTGGATGTAGGGTTTAGGGTTTAGGGGTAGCATAGCGTATAGGGTTTAGGGCTTAGGGTTTAGGGTTTAGGGTTTTGTTGGAGGTTTCGGGTTTAGGGGTTTAGGGATGGCATTTAGGATGGTAGTTCGAGTTTGCTGAGGGGTGTAAGTATGCTTGCAGGAGTTCGGGCAGGTTCAATTGCCTGGATGGCCGCTTCGCGACTGGTGGAAAGATGCAGGAGTGCCAGCCATGCACGTAAGAGCTTCAAATCTGCGATCCCTTGTACAACCCCGTGTGGCACGTCGCAAAGCTTCGATTCTCAAGTTATTGTTACTGCTGTTTCTGCATGTGCTTTGCTCTGCGGAATCGAGCCAAGGCCCTAAATCGCCAGAGCAGCAAAACGTGCCCGAAAGGCCAAGCGAGAGAACAAGCACCTACTCTTTCCTCTGTACTTGTTGTGAGTATCTGCGTAGCGAAAAAATGATCAGACATACCATTGCTTGTCCTCTGATTAAACTGCTGGCACCACTGCTCGCTCCTCCTTTACTTCCAGCCCACTACCTTTCCTGCTTAGCGTTCCCCCTCACCAGCATCGCCTTTCTCGATCACACAATACTATCGTCAGCCTGCCCCAACTTACACGGACGGTTTAGGGTTCGGGGCACACAGTCCGCCTCGAGCATGCGGCAGGCATGTTCACTCGTAGCATGGTTCTGCAAGAACTGAACCTGGCAGACGGATTGAGGGCATTTTCGGCCTTAATTAGGGTCTGGGGGCAAAGGTTTGCGGTGCTAGGGTCTAGAAAGTGTCTGGAGTCTTCGGGTTGGAACCAGCCTTAGCTCTCGGGGGATTCATTCAGTATCTTGAAGCTGGCGTCTGAACAAGGGTACCGAGGATACCAGTAGCACCCGAAAAACAGGCAAGAAACAACACCTGCGACGAAACATGCATAAAACCGTGTTGTCACACCTTTGGAAACATGGAAGGATGCAAGAATTAGGGGTTTTGAGTTTGGCTACAGCCAATCCTTATAGATGTTTAAGCCCTTCACGTGCAGTGTTGACCATAACTTCGAGCCTTCTACACCCCCGTCTGAGAAAACGCTATCTATAAAAAACTGGACAACCCCATAAGAACAATGGCAAGCTTAATTCAACCAATCTAGACCTAACTCCAAACTCCAAGCCCTAAACCCCAAACTTGTAGGAGTGCAAGCCTATCTGGGTCTCCCGGCGCTGAATTGCACCAGCGGCGCCACGTCGAAACGCACGGAGACGTCAAGGATGGCCTACTCGGCACCCCTAAACCCTATAAGCCTTAAACCTTTACTTAGTTACTTAAACCCTAGAAGTGCGATTACAAGACCTCGAGAAAGTCTACTTTTGGGGCTTACGGGGTTTAGGGTTTGGGGCTCAGGGCATACAGTGTGGGGTTTGGGATTTTGGGTTGAAGCGTTTAGGGACTTCGGCCTTTGGGTAGCTTGCGGTATCTGGGGTCTTGAACAACACTGACTGAGGACTTAGTGTGTTTGACGTCTCCCAAACCCTAAACCCTAAGCCGAGGTGTGAGGAATGTTTTGGACTCAATGTCTGCCGCATGGTTTTGGAGTGAGGGTCTACCTTAACCTACCAAACCCTACTTGTTTGTTGGTTGTTATTATGAACAATAATATGGAATTTATAGGGACCCTACAAAAAAGTAGGCTCTTGTAGATTAAGGTACTCACAGGACCGAGCAAAATATTTGTCACGGGTGTCAGGTGTCTGTCATTCCTTACTAGCTTGCAAACGACGAAGAACAGCCCTGTTTGTGCCAAGATATTTTCCAAAATGACATTGGTCATTAAATGTCAGTAAGTTGAACAAGGCGTTGGAGGAAACAATCCGGCAGAGGGGCTAACACCGTCTCCGCAGTTATCTCCGCAGTGCCCGTGTAGATGAGTTTCCTGGCACGCTGCATGCGCATCTGTAACCATAAACGTAAAATCAAACTCGCTGCACTGAAACCCGATGCACCTAAAGCTGCAATTTCACGCTTAAGTTGTGCGAAGGCTTCAAAATCACAGCTCGAGAATGAGACACTGAAAATTCCGGAGCACTACTGGGACTCCCCCTTCAAGGGTTTGGCCATTGGTGAGCTTGCAATTAGCTAAGTGTTGTGAAACCTTATCTCGATGATGACTCGAGACGACCATGGTGCTCATGCTGCTCCTGCTCCTCGGCCCAGAATGCCGTTGAGGTCTTTGCGAATGGAAACATATGTCTTGTTCGGCATTTAGGTTTTGGCTAAATCGTGCGGCATGCTTTTGCTCTAGATCTCCATCCTCCACACGGTACCTGATACAATCCTGAAGCCTGCTTCCTCATGAGATTACGGCAACTATAGTGTAGCGGATGCATCACTTTCAACACCCAAAAAACATGAACAAATCCTTCCAACGCACCAAAAATACCCAAAAAAACAACTCCACTGAACAAAAACCCTAAATCACGCATCACCCGAAAACCTGTGCACGTATCAAAACATGTCGAACCTGGCAGCACTACGCCCAAAGACGACACCTTATAGAAACGTCAGGATAGAACCCTGAAGGTTGCATCCGTCCGAAATAGAAAACTGAAAAAGCCAAAGCCAAAGCCCAAAACCATCCAAAAACCACCGCAAATCAGAAAACAATTAAACCTAAACCCTAAACCCCTAAACCAGAAAACAATTAAACCTTGATCCGATCGCCTTCGCTCCTCCCTTCCCCCTTTCATTGAACACCTATAGTCTCCATTGTAGCTCCCTTTTTTGGTAAACCAAAATCGCTATTATAGGGTCCTGACCATAAAACTGGTTAACCAAAAAGGGGAACTACAATGGAGACTACAGGCACACCCTAATCCCAGTTGTAGAACTACCTATAGTCTCCATTCCATTGTAGTTCGTCTTGGGGGTTACCTTATAGGATCCCAAATATATATTCGGTTAAACCAGAAAAAGGAACTACAATGGAGACTATAGGTAGTTGTCGGAAAACCCTACTGGAATCATCCCCGCCGTTTACCGGAACTTGCATGTTATAGAACAAGGGAAGGAAAAAAAGCAAGCGCAAGAGCAAGACCAGCAGTAGGAGCAAGAACAAGAAAAGGAGCACGAGCGAGAGCAGGAGCAGAACAGGAGTTGGAGCACGAGCAGGAGGAAGAGCGAAAGCAAAAGCAGAACAAGAACACGACCAAATCCGCGACTCTGGCTGCAACCTCTGGCGACACCAACCTCCTAAACCAGTCTCGCTGAAACCCTGAACTCGCGTATTGAAGCCCTGAGGTACCAGCTCTGAGTTGCGAGGCTTCAACGCGAAACACGACCTCCAAACTTTAAGCCCATGGACTGAGCTTTCGGTCGCGCACGACTTCCACACACACTTGGACCTGTCGATGCGTTTGCTTTTGCCAGGGCAGAGTCTGTAAGTGCATGTTTGAAATGGTGATCCTCGCAATAGCTCCGGGACGACTTGCGCAGTCTTCCTTTTTCAGGTTAGCTGTGGAAATATCTCGCCACAGCAATACTGCCGTTTCCAACCTATTTAGCTGCGTATGAAACTGCAGGCGAGTTGCTCCTCCTGGCCCTTGGGTCTCGCGATTTGGTGTGCATTGTTAAACTATGAACAGATCCAATACGCGTGCTCGAGCGAGCAGAACCCCAGTAGGATGGAACCCTTCGTCTGAACGAGGCAAACTGATCGAAGCGTAGAGGTCCCAGCAGACCAAACTCGCAACAGGCGTGCTTCCGTCTGCATTGTTGTCATGAACAGCAGCAACCACACCAACAATGATGTCCGCCGGTGAGTTTGCAAATTCCTGCGACGTTGAGCAGGAGGTACCCATACAGGCCTCACGAGAGCTTTTCTCGAAGCCCAATCTGAAACCCCTAGACGCCCCAGTCCAAACCCCTATCTGCTACAACATCACCATAGAACACTTACTACCTACAAGACCGTACTCCCTAAACACCCAAAGCCCTTAAACAACAGCCAAATCCCTGCTAGACACTTCAATACCAAGCGTCCAGAAGCCAAAACCCTAAACCCCCAACACTAAACTCGAAAACGGGCTGGCACCCCGTGCAGCCCCCAAATCACATAATCATCCGAAGAACCCAAGTCTCGCCAGGGCCACAGCATCACCTCAAATGCCGCCGGCTCGACATCCAGGAGCCTCACCTCACTGGATTCTCTGAAAGGTTTCCTGCCGGGTTTGATCATGTTTCGGCCCTCAAAAATTCAGGGCTCAGTTAACCCCCCGCGCGGATGTCTTGGCAGTTTCTCCAGGTCTTTTAACACGGGTTTCAACATTTTCTCTCGGCTGAGTATTGGTACGTTCAGGACGTTCGACTGCTCGGTTTAGTTTAGGGCTTGACCCCTGAACCCTCAACCTTAAACCCTAACCCACAGGACCCAAGCCCGAGCAACACAAACAAGTCATCGTCTCAGGAAGCGTGGACCTCAAACCATGCAGCCGTACGACACCCTAGCTACCCATAGGCCCCATAGTAGTTCCTTATTGGGGTTCATATTTAGAACTCCATAAGGTAATCCCAAAAAGGAACTACAGCACTGTGGGGCCTATGGGTGTCGTATCCATTGTAGTTCCTTTCTGTGGTTTAACCGGCTTTCATATTTAAGTTCCGAATCCTAAAAGGTAGCCCAACAAGGTCCTACAGTGAAGACTACGGGTAGCTAGTACACAACGTGACGACCGGCCACCCCAAAGCCCTGAACTTAGCACCGACCCTGAAACCTGGGCCCCCAAACCATGATGTAGTCCAGGGGCCTTCCTTTAAAGGGAACTCCAGAAAGTTGGAATATGGTTTCAGGGTAGGATACCCTATCATTTACCATACAGGGTTTAGGATAATCATATTCCAACTTTCTGGCTTTTACAAGGGTTCTTGAAAAGGGTCCTACTAGGGTTACTATAAGTGGTATTAATGGGGTGTAA